TACTAAATAAACATTTACTTACAGTAAATAAATATTTATTCAATAAAAAAATTATAGTTAAATAAAAATTAATAGTTTTTGCATCAAATAAATGTTTAGAAAGTTATAAATGTTTAGATTTAGTAAATATATTCAAACAAATATTTATTATCTTTTTACAGTATACGTTTTCAAAGAGAGAGAAAGGGAGAGAAAGAGAGATTTTAATTTATAAATAACTTTCATTTGCATTTAGGGTCACTTTGACCAACTCCGATTAACTTTGATCGACGATTAGTCTGCTGAAATTGACCAATCGCATTTGTCATTTCGCTTAAGGCGCCTTCAGACGATATGACCAACGTATGCCAACATTAGCAAATATCATATATGTGATGGTCATATCGTTTGAAGGCGCCTTATTTAACGATGCAATTGCAATGGACTAACTATTGATTAAAGTTAATTAAAGTTGGTCGAAGTGATCCTTAGTAATTTCACAAAGCTCCTGCTTTTGCGATTTTTTGTATAAGATATTATATTTTCAAAACAAAGTAATGCACATTTGACACATACTGCTGCAAACAAATAGATGAATTAAAAGTTCTCTATTGAGGTAAAACGTAATTCCGTGCGTATATAGAAAATATCCGAACACTATTGCGTTGATACGCTATTCAATGTCTTTCAGCGCTCTCTCTGATTCCAGCAAGATCTCGTTTCCAATGGAGAATACCGACAGACAAATGTATATCAGTATATCGAGATTTTTAGAGAAAATGACGTATCCTCAGATTCAGTGAACAAGCTCCTGTTTCGTTGGTATCGGCAAAAGGATGCGGTGAATGCATTCCGGGATCGATTTTATCGAGAATGTGTACACGCGCGTTTAATTGTTGTTGACAGAAGTTACTATAATTATGCAACGGTGATTGAATTTTACATTACGCCATAGATTAATTCACGACTCTTGATACATCTCTAAAATATAGATTAGTGTTTAAACTGTCTGTGGGGTATAAATTAAACTGATAAATATGTGAGAGAACTATTTTAAAGAATAGTTTCGTTTCCAGAAATAACGTTGAAATGTAAATCTCTACATTTTCGGAGATTCTAATTTGAGTCCTTATTTTAATTTCGTAATTATACAGCTGTCTGCGAATTTAATTCAAATTCTCAACATTCGTACAAGTTTCATAAGTAGCAAAGACCGCGTTATAATAAGAGAATACGAAGTAGAAACGGGCGTAATCAGGCAACCTGTGGATAAGTAGAAATGACCACGCTATGGTCGGACCGAATGAAACATAAAATTGATATTGATAATAAACTCGTTTGTATTCTTACATATTATTTAGGTTCCGTTTAACATTTGCAATGCTCACAAGTATTATTTTATCCTTTTTGTCATCATACATATTAAACAAGGACGAAATGATACATGCAAACATTACGAACATTAAGTGGAGCACACTCTTAATATATAGCCTCGACTAAAAATATAAACCACCATAATTCACATAAACGTTATATTTTACAAAAAATAAATTAAGAAACGATTTTATTAAAAAATAATATTTTTATAATAATTTTAATATTTTGTTAGCTTTTCTTTTTAATTTTATTAGTGCTCTTTTCAAGAAAATGCAATAATGAGGTTGTTTTATACTTACGATCTAGACTGTATAATTTAATAGTGTTATAAAAATAATTGCATATTCTTATTATTATTTGTAGCACCTAATACGACACTATCAATATTATATAAAAATTTAATGACTACAGTCTCACTTCTCTTTAATGAATTCTAAATAAGAATATCACACTGTTGACAGCTTTTTATTGGAAAATGAATTCGCGTTCCATTTACAGCGACGTGATTTCCATTTAATTCAGTTTAATATAATCTCAAGTTAGTAGTTTAATTATTAAAATAATAAATTTACTATGTTTCAATATTTTTAAATACTTAATATCATCCTGGAATTAAAAAATGGGAGAAATAAAAATCTCTCTCTCTCTCTCTCTCTCTCTCTCTTCCTCACTTCCTCTCGTGAGTACAGACTTAGGATGCTCCTTTCATTCTAATCGCTTTCACCTCAAGTTTGTGAATGACATTATGCTTTCCTCGGTATTATATGTATATACGACATAATCCTTTTTATCGTTGACTGATCTGATTCGGTTATGTCCGACATGGCTATCGTCAATGTAATACGAAAGACTATTCATCGGGCTTCTCGGTAGTCTCGCTTTCCTTTAACCTACTCCGGGAGGAGATAGCTTCCAGTAGCTGACAGCTTACACGAGGGAGCTTGCGGGGAAAGATGATATAGCATCGCGGCAATAGCGGCAGTGGAATGAACTCGCGCCTCGTTTGTACCAGCGCAAGAACGCGGTCTGGATACGCTGCCCGGCACGTTTTGCCGGTCGACTGATCGGCCAACCCGCTAGGCAGCTCTGGTAAGATGAATTACATCGGGACGTGATGGTGCCGTCTGCTTACGGTCGCGCTACCGATCGGAATCGCGGAAACTTGTGTACGGATCCCGACACGTCTGCAGCTCCGCCTTGCTCTTTCTCCCATGTCTTCCCCTTTCGTTCGTCTTATCGAAAGCTTGCGTGCTCTCGAGCTTTTCCTGTCCCGGTGCTGAAGTTGGAGTGAGGAAAGTACAAGGGAGGACGGGGGTGAAGATTGATTGCATCGAGTCCCGCGTACAGTCGGTGAAAGAAATCGACGGACGCGATGCGGATTTCCGTGCGTTTTAAAGAATCTCGCTTGCATCGTGAGAAACGACAAAGGGAAAAGATGTTCCCGATCTCGAAACGCGTGAATACGCGGATCAACGCTTCGTTCAGGTTGATGACGGAGTATCACTTTGTTCTTTTCTCGGTATCAAGCGAGCTAGGAGAGTACTTCGATAATCGAGAAGGAGGAGGCGGAAGAATCGAACCGCGATAATCTTCCGCGACTGTTACATTAATATTTTTCTCACTTTACTCTCTAACTGTCGATTTATCACCATATTTTTGCAATATCCATTGAAAAAATGTCTGGTATAATAATAATCAAGCCTATACACGGAAAGAACGATTTTGTTGAAGTATTAGTTAAATAAAATACAGATCTGACAGGGAAGGCTTAGAAGTGATTATCACCGATTTCAATGAAACTTGGCAGGATTATCAATTGTTTGCAAGATATTTTAATATTAAATTTATTAGCGGCAGTTTTCATTAGAGTTTACACTCGAGTTCATGGTATTTAAAATTTTTTTTTATTTTTAACAAAATTTTCATCTTAAAGTTTATAACAGTAATCTATAATAAAAATATAATTAATTTCTCATATTAATTATTCCTATTATAAAATATTATATAACAGAAAAATATTAATTGTTAATAAGATTTGAACTTGAGTAAGTTAAAAGGCTATTAAATAATGGTTGGGGATACAACAGGGTAATAGGAGTCAAGCACGGTAATTCTTGTGCAAACCAAATAATTAACAAAACAACTTTATTAATAATTAATCCGCTTACATGTTTCGGCTCACTTTTGAACCATCCTTAGAGACAGTATGATGTTGTAATTACAAAAACAAATTTTTTTTTACAAACTAATTTATTTCAGTGAGCCACCTCCATTTATTAACTGAAACTATAATATAAAAACGAACTCTAATAACAATCTAAAATGTATTAAAATTATTAAAAGGTAAATTTTTTGGAAGCAAAAATGATTTATTATAAAACAATAGAAGGTAACTCACTAAAACAAAAATTCATCATATCGCACACACTTAAATTCTATAGATTTAGTCAAAAACTAGTCTTTGACCATTCAGCGAATCAGTGTCAATTATATTGAAATTAATGGATAACTTTTAATACACTTAAAACGTTAATCGCAAAGAAAAAAAAAGAAGAAAAGGAAACTTTGATATTAATTATAGTTTAGACGGACATCAAAATTAAAACTGAATCTTTAATAATTTAATTTTAATGTAACGAAGACTGTACACTGATTGAAATTTTTTTGTAATCACAACATCATACTGTCTCTGAGGATGGCTCAAAAGTGACCCGAAACATGTAAACGGATTAATTATTAATAAAGTTGTTTTGTTAACCGTTTGATTTGCACAAGAATTACCATGCTTGACTCCTATTGCCTTGTTGTATCCAACCATTTTGTAACATTAAGGAGTCTTTAGGAATTAATTTATATTTAAAAGGCTGTTACTATATCCGCTACAAATGCTCAAGTATAAATGTTCTAATAAGCTCTAATGAATTGCTAAATTTAATACTGAAATATTTCGGAAATGGTCGACTGTCTACGCCTAAATAGGAATATAATGATGTTCAGGGGAACACACTCTATAATCCTACTAAAGTTTCGTTGAAATTAGTGAGGACCCTTTCTGAGCCATCTCTCATGAAAATAACTATGTTTAATTAGTTGACCCATCGAAATAATTACGAGTCTTAAGCATGATAAGCAATGTTACAAAAAGTTTTGATATTCTAACAACTAATTTGAGCACTCTACATAATTATTTTGATAGTCTAACAAAATTATTTTCAGATCTGTATCTAGCTTTTTATATCAACAAAATCTTTTTGTGTTAATGATAGTTAAAGCTTTGATGAAATAAGATCAAATGTTAATTCAAGTGTTCGATTAATATAATCAAAACTAAACGCTAATGTTGCTTTTCTAAATATTTTGTTTTACTTTTATAATTGCCATGTTTGATAATATTTTCTAAATATTGTACTAATACGTTAAACAAAATACAATATATTTGATAGCTATTATCAGACTTTTTTCAGTGTCTTTTTAAAAAAAATACACACAAAATAAATATATGTATAAGATATTTTAATTCTACGTATTTTTGCATCCGACTATGTTTGATTAAATTAATAATAATACAATATTAAATATTCGAAGTTAATTAGTAGAACTTAACTGGAATTTTTCAACATGCAGACTTAGATTAAGGGACGCACCTCGACTGTCACGCCTGGTCGGGGGAATGTCTGAGTCCTTTGGCTGCTGTCCGGCACATATCGGAAGAATTCATGATCATCTTTGTACCATTTAACCGAGTAGAGATTGCTTCCACTCATTATTCGCCACTCGCATCTCAGCTCGATCGAAGAACCCACTTCGGCCTCTTTTGGCATCTTGAACTCCACCTTGATATCGCTGCTCGCTGAAACACAAATATATTTATTCATGCATCTGCTGTATGAGAAATGACATAGAAAAAATGATTTTGCTGTAGCATCTAAAAATATAGCTATACATATACAGATTATTTTCACTTCTTTTTGTACAAATTAGAAAATATTGTTTCCTTTTTTAATTTCATTAAACTTTTATTACATATACATTTATACAAATGCTTATTAGCTTGAATCTTATGAGAAAGAAAGTTTTAACTAATTTAATCGCAAACAGAATTTTGAGAAACTATATTTCTATGAAGGAATGAGGTTTAAAGAACATTTTTTGAAATTAAAAAAATTAAATTTCACCGTTTATCATTTTCATATAAGAGTATGAATGCTTGTAAATTATTTTATTTATATATTGTGCCACACACAAATGACCTCAATGTCATTTAATCGATGTCACAGAAAATAAATCAACATTTTTTTCAACACTTTTAATCAGTTTCTTTTTCATATTGCTTTACATGTTATTTATTATAAAAAATAGCATGACAAAAAAACTTTATTATTAGAAAAAAATATGAAAATAGTCATATGATTTTCTTCCTCTTTTTAAGCCGGAGAATTTTTTTCATTCAGTATTATAAATTTCATTAAACGATGTATATATTGGACGTTACGAATTTTACACACGTTGATAATATAGTTATACTTGATGCTTCGAAATATTCTTTCATCTTTTAGTTAGTAAAATTCTATCTTCTGATTGATCAATGAGATACATCGAAGCATTTATAGCGTCAAGTGGACCACATTCAAATTCTTTATAAGACAAATCAGTCTAATTTTTATACACTTTTTGTTTCCAACTCTTCTTTTTCGCGATTAACGATTTCCGCGACAATAGCGTCATGCACTTTCTACTATACACATTACATAAATGGGAACGATGAGCTTTCATCACGAATCGTGTTCCTCAGCTCGTTATAATTCTTGATCACGATAGGGCTGCTGATCTCGCGTGGCGCGTAGCATATGCCACTTTCGGGATTCCATTTCGTTAATCCATGGATACGCACAGAGTGGACGACGTTTGGAATCCGTAGTCGCTTCGCAATTACCGTCCGCGTCCGTCAGCCGAGGACAGGCTTGAACGGTAAAAGGGTGACCGTGTGTTAAGCGCGAGAATAAATACGCGGTTAGCGGAAGGGTCAAGTGGGATCGAGGTAAATGCCGCTGCGAGTTTCGTACGCGATTCGGAAGTTCCCTTCGAAATTCGAAACGAATGCACTTCGCTGTGCATACATAGATAATAAAACTTGCGCAGAATTATTGTGATATTATAGAATGACGTTTTTCGATCGGATTGAAACTTTCGAGTTTAATCGAAAAGTGAGAAGAATGCATTGCATAATTATTAGCAGTACTTCCAGTAAAAAGGAATTAACGAATAATTAATGTAATACGTGGAAGAGAGGAGAAACGTGAATTACGTAACATGTTCAAAATTTACGGGATATTTACTTCCCCAGGATGTAATTATTCCGTCTAGTAACGTAATAATTAATTTTTAAATTGTGTTATTTGAGGTAACGCTGTATATTCGTACGAAAATAATCACATCATTCCTTTTATTTAATTTATATTGTAATAATTTTGTAATGCCATCGTTGCCAGTAGATAATCATCATTGACAGTTCTAAATTTATTCAAAATTAGTCAATGAGTGCCAACATAGGTTATACGTGTGTAAAAATATATTAAAAGAACAAGCTATAGTGAAGACGACCCTTATTTTGGATCACTATAGTATTGACGAATTAATAAATATTTCATTTACAAGGAAACCAGATTGTTGAGATGAATATCAAATCAGAAAACATCATGAAACTTTAGTCTAAGAATAAAAAGTCAACAGTTGAACGTCTTCAGTATTTAATAGAATATTTGAATTAAAGTCCAAAGTTAAAATTGGTAATAGAATCACGATGAAATGTCGGATAAGCACAGAAAAAAATTAGTATAATGTGACGTGATATATCCTATACGAACGCAGAATAAAATAAGTGTAATATGTATATGAGAATGTAATGTATGTGAGTTTTTGAAATTATCAGATTAATCTAACAATAAGTTGTTTGTGAATTATAATGAATTGTGTTAAAGAACTGCGGCGAATTCATTCAGTCGTACGAAAATGTCAATCGTGTAAAGAGAAAATTTATTCCATACTGGACTGCCAACGATCGCGTGTACATGAATTCTGGCGGATGACTCATAATACGACAAGGATCGAGTTAATTTGGAGAATCGAGCGAAGTCGTCGGTCGCCCATGGGAGAGCGAGACACAACGATCACGAAACGTGTTGGGTTTAAGTGCGGTGGCCGTTGTCGTTAAAGGTCCATCGAGCGGAATACCCAGAGACCTCGCTTGCTCTCCGCATTCGCTCTTCCGGCCGGTAGCCGCAATTTACAGTCGCGCGTGTAAAGATTTAATGACGCGCGAATTTCAGTTTGAGGATTAAGATCTCAAAGAGCCGGGGTTGCTCTCGTAAACCTCTTGTGTTCCATGCCATATCTACGAGATTCCGATATGGCGAATAGATAATAGAGCTTAATATGTATTGTCAAGTAGGAAAGTCATAGTATTTTTTAACACCACTTTAAGCGACTGCCTTTACAGAAATTTAACTCTTTGAAGTTGATAATGCACTGTCAAATTTATATCAAATTGTGCCCAATTTGAATTATTTTTAATCACTTTTATGTCACCACTGTTCCTATTCAATATCGTTAATTTAACTAATGTGATGAAGTTAAACAATTTAACTATAAAAAAGAATGTATTAAATTTAACTCTTTAGTTTATTATTTATTAAATGCATACATTAATATGGACGTTACTTATTTTGAAACTAACAAAAATGTTTGATTTACGTTTTATTATACATATGGGAGTTAAAAGTTGAAAATGTTATTTTCAACATTTTGTTCCTTTTTTTATTTTTAATTTAAAAGATTGGGTTATTGTTTCTTTTTGATATCAAACAGTGTTGGATCACACAATTATATTCTTTACATCTGCAAATTTAAATTGTTAAATTGTTATTAACTTAAAATTATTTTTTTATACGAGTTACGTTATTTTGGTTTTTAAAAGTTAATTGCACTCAAAAATGAAATGTTTAATTTTATGATATTAAAATGTTTTATTCTTGTCTCCGTTTTTTAAACATTTAAAGATGTTTTAGTTTTAAACTCTTTCAATATAAATAAAACACTACGTGTTTTCGTGTAAACATTTTAAACACTGCACTTTTTACAGTGTAGTGCCTTTTAACGAATATACATTAAATGAGTTTCACGGGCCCAATGTCAATAATTGTGTTACAAATTTTGATGTCAACTCCGATGGGTTAATATTAGAAGATAGTAATTAATTACTTATTTCGAATATTAAAAGCATTGATGCTCATTGTGCTTTTAATACTCAAAATAAGTAATTAATCACTATTTTTCAGTATTAAATTGAATTTTTGTAAAAAGGGTTCTGAAATATTTTGCAATTAATTAATTATTTAATTGTTTCTATCGAAGAAGCTTTGAACGATACCTACACTTTTATTGTGATTCAGTGCTTTTAGTATTCAAAATAAGTAATTAATCACTATCTTTCAGTATTAAATTGGATTTCTGTAAAAGGATTTCTGAAATATTAAATTGGATTTTTGTACAAGGATTTCTGAAATATTCCTTGCAATTAATTAATTATTGAATTATGTCTGTCGAAGAAGCTTTGAACGGTATGGATTAATACGTCTTATAAGGACTATGGAGTTTTAATATCGGGAAAAGCTCATCTTCAGATCGATATAGCTGACGTGTACATATATACAGATTCGCAATATTCGGAACATATACTGACATTCGACGGGACTGACCTAACCTGTCGATGTCAGTCACAGCTGTTTCCGGTGGCGCGGTTTGCGTTTCGCGACGCGTTTTCGAACGCGTCTCCTCTCGATATCTCTCATCCGCGCGTCGTCAATTTCCGTCGTTACAACGACTGAGTCGTTAACTTGCCAATGGAGTTTGACGTCTCATAGCTGAGACTGCATCGTGAACATTTCCGTGCCATTTATCAACGGCACCTGGCGTATTGAAAACTGCTTTGCTGCGACGAGGACAGGCCGACGAGAAGGCGCCGAAAGTATACGGCGCCATCGATTTTAGCTACGATACTTTTTAATCAAGAAGAATTTTAATCGCACACAATACACGTGAGACTGTTTCGTTATTGTGAAATAAAAATTTAGATGATATAATCTGATAAAATCATTTGATTCTACTCTTTTCCGAAGCAAAATTTGATATAATTTCTTAAATTTTTCATTTAATTTTATTTTGAATTTTTAATTATATTTAATCTTTTGGAGCTGAAATTTGTAACATAATTATTGATACTGGATTTGTAAGATCCATTTAATACATTAAAAGTGCGTTACTAGTTAATTTCAAGGAACCAAAATGACATAACTCGTATAAAAAAGAATGAATACTAAATCTATATTTAAAGTCATGTATGAATAAAAATAATTCATATTTGCAGATGTAAGATAATGAAAATTGAATTGTTTAACATTTTTGTGTAATAATTATAGTAATCAATTAATATAATAATAGATACAATTATACTAATATAATAAGGCTAAAATATAACGAGCAAAATTATGGTATTTAATATATAATATTTATTAAATTCTCTCTCTCTCTCTCTAAACAAAACCAATTTTTAAAAGTGCTGTGTTATTCGAACGTTTCGGGTAACAGTACCTTTCATCAGCAATACATAAAAGAATGTTTGAAATAATAAAAATTATATAATGATAAAAGTAAAAGAAATTAAATTATCTAAAATGCAACGTAACGTCAATATAGGTCACTATCTCTTCCATTTTTTCATCATACAAATCAAGAAGACATATCTAGGTTAAACATGACTTTAAAATTAAATAAATATATACACGAATTAAAAACTAATAGGAAATTAAAGAAGAGAAAAGGAGACAGTAATGAAATATCACTTGATAAGTGGATGATTGTGGAATATCATGATATTTTATGTAACTTGTGTTACATCCTGAAGGCAACCATCAAAATTATTTTTTTACACTCTACTTATATGTCGTAACATAACACTGGTCATTAGTGTTTACATTATTGTTGTTAAAGCTACATTTTAGTTTTGTATATAGCAGTTTTACAGGTGTACTCTTTATGTAATTTTGGAAAATATATTGGTATTAATTTTGTTTAATTTCAACCCAGCTTGGAGCCCTAAATGTTTCTTTCAAATGATATAATTGAACCGCAGGTAACAAAATGTGTGTATGTACGTATCCGACATGTAACAAAAAAATCCGATATGTTATACTATATACACCACTAATTGGTGGTACTCTGTATCTCACTACCTATTTCATAATCGTAACCTTTTTCCCTCTTGTGTTTTTTTGTAAATTGCGTTCTGTATACTTGAAGATCTTCCACTTAACGAATTTATATCAAAAGTAATTATATTATATGAATATCTATTGAATTATTTCATAAGACAACGTAGGAATCTCTCCCTTTATCTAATAATGTATTTTTTATTTTAACATTATTTCTCAGAGAAAGCTGAATTATTTTTACTCATTAGGATCTTTGTTATCCGAATAATCACTGTATAGTGATTCATTAGACTCACTGTCAACTCCAAAGGGATATAATTGAATGAGTATAATATTCGTAAAAGCAAGTTTAAAAGAAGACTTGTCAACAATCTTTAATATATTAAACGAAAAATATATTTAAGCTATTTGAAATTTATCGAGAAGATGTAGTACAGACACTTTTTATGATCGTACTTTACAGAGAATTTGCCGTGGTCGCGAAAATGAAGTCGACGAGTAAGCCGCGAGACAAAAGCTTCCTTAAAATGCGCTCCGGAGCGACGACAGAGTCCGGTATTCGCTGTTCTCAGTCGCGCAGTTTCCATAAATCCCATCCTTTCGCTCTGCTATTCGTTACTTCCTACGACAAAGACAGCACATTACGCAAAGGAATTTGTCCAATTGTCTCGATCAAAGTCGCTCTCGCGAGTCGCCTCATATTGCCGTCGGGTTCCGCTGCATTCTGGACGCAACGGCGGGAATATTTCTTGCTCATCGCGAAACGTTAAAGCTAAGTCTTTCAAACTTGTGCGGGTCTCTCAAGCGTTTCCTTTTTGAGTGTCTGATCTCTGCCGGATTCCATTCAAGTCATGCAAGACTCCTCTCGTGAATTGAAATCGAATGCCTTAGCTACCTTTTCGCCTTTGCGATGTCCCTCGTCTCGCGTCCGTTTTTCCATTCGCATGAAATTTACCTCTAAACAAGGCATACATTCTGCTGCGAATGTCTGGATTTGCGATTTCTCATCCGCGAAGCAAAAATATTGAGCCAAATCAAAAACGTTTGCCGATGCGAACTTTTCTTCTTCGCTCAGCAAAGCGGAATAATATTTCTGACAGTAGAAGAGTTTCTGTGTATTTCGCTTCATCTTTTTAACCATCAGCGGAGTATCATCGCTCTGATTTTTGAAATGTAACCACCTATACGATGCGAATAAAATATATTTTAATAAACTTGTTCATTTTATTAAATATTCAGGTGCACCGTATATTGCGTTTTTGACGGATGCATTGTAATCCATTTTACTCCAAATATTCTTCCTTTGGTAATTGAATCTCCAATTACAATTTGGAAAAAACGAAATCCGCTTGAATTCAAATAAAAGTAATTAGGAGTTTGCGTTCAATATTAAAATTTAATTAATATTATTTTAAATTTAAATTTAAATTTAATTTAATTTAAAATTATTTACTCAAGTTATGAAAATTAATTTAATATCGTATAACCTATGTATATCGCCGCGTTGATTATAGAAAAATAACACATCTAAAATTAGCAACTTTTCAGTAGAGCATCTTTAAATTCTTTTCTGAATTGAAACAACTATTTAATGTTACATGGAAAGTGTGACATGGAAAGGAAGATAAGTTATACATATTCATTATTCTAATTAAAATTATTTAATTAGGATAATGAATATGCACAACTTCACTTTCTTTTCATGTCTTACTTTCCATACAGTATCTACATTAAACGTTATTTCGATTCAGAAAGAATTTTAAAATGTTGTATTGAAAAGTCGCTAATTTTAAGATGCGTCATTTTTCTCAATGCGACGATACACATAAATTATAGAAGATCAAAAATAATTTTAATAACTGATATAATTTTAAAAATAATTTAATAACTTGAAATAATTTTAAATAGAATTAAATTTAAATTTGAGTAAAATTATTAATTAAATTTTAATCCTTAATTTTATTTTCCTTAAATTTTAATATTTAATTCAAACTCTTCATTATTTTTACTTGGATTCAAGCGGATTTCGTTTTTTTTTTATATTGTAATTGGAGATTTAATTACCACAAAGAAAGAATACAATAATCTTTCCATGTCACATACTTTCAATTAAAAAGTACTCTTTAAAACTATGTCATGAGTTTTCAAAATTCGAACGTTCCAAACTCAATACATATAGAACTATGTAAACTTCACATTAATCATATGGAAAAAGTTTTGCTGAAACAGATATTTTGTAGATATATATATTATGAGACGCTGACCAAAAATTTTTGTAGGCAAATCATTCAAATAGAAGATAGATTTTGCTGTAGCACCATTTGAAAGTTGCTATTGTTGGTGTAATCGGACTGAAAAAATGTCTATTAAGCTATTTTAACACAATCAAATGCGACTTAAAAAAAATTAATTGCTGGTTTTTGCAAATTAATTGCTCTGTTCTTGATCTTAAGATTAAACAAAAAGCTTAATATTTAAAATTAGCACAGTTATAAGAAAAAAGCAGGAAAAATAGAAATAAATATATATTTTTATAGTGCTATTGAATTGTTCTATTCTCGATTTTATTGTTCTAGTTGATTTGAAAAACAATAATGGCTGTGTTAGCTTATAAGGTTGAAGTAACGTGCACAATCCAAAAAAAAAAAAAAAAAAATAAGTACATATTTTTGTAGTGTTATTAACAAGTAAATAAAAATTTATAAAACACATACTTACCAACAACATATATATTTTTTAAGACAACTACATGTTTTCTTTACAGCAATTAATCATTTCATTATTTTCTCTATAACAGTATAAAAGCAAAGTTACCAAAAGAATAAATATTTTAACAGATAAAGATCCTTTTCAGTTCAATTAGATTCAAAGTAATAACTTTTAAATAGTGGTATAGCCAAATTTAAAGAGTTAGGTTTCCGGAGAACTTTTTGGAAATATACGTTCACGTACGCGACATAACAAGTCGCGCAGACAACGAATAACAAGCTTATTCGCCTCTCCATCTCCTGGTTTATAATCGCCGCTCGTTAACCGCGCGAGCCAGCAACGTTGCACCACGGTAATTCAACTGAAATCCACGGGGTCCTGATTGCAGGCGCTCGTTTTTCCGATTGCCAGTCGGTTGCCCACAACCAATTTCTGTCCGGTGCGTTCGCGCGCACGAAAGCAGCCGGAGCAATCCTGATTCGGTGAAACGACTTCCGGCTAGCTCGCCACAAGTCGAAACCTCATTACCGCCCAAGAATTGCACACCCTTTCTCCAAGGAGGACAGAGGATGGAGGACTAGATAAATAAAAGCGCTTTACGTGCCTTTCGCGAAGACACACGACGGCCACTTCAGGATGTTTCCCTTTGTCTCCGGATTATGCAAACGCGAACTTTCCTCGAAGCAAGTCAATGCAGCGAGGCGTGCCACTTGACAGAGGGGGCAGAAGGGGGCTCTCGCAATTTCGTAGAAGAGCTGCTCTTTGAAGCGGATGTAACCGTGAATGTCTTTTTTAGGATGGTGCACGTGGAAAGGGTTCCGCCCGGAAAATGTTTTTCTTACCGCTCTTATTGTAGATTTCGCTCGATTCTATTCCGCTGCACTCGGAGGAATTTTGTTGATTGACCCAGAAATACTCTGGGAAATCTCTACGGGTTATCTCCGCGGGAGAAAGATACGGATGTTCTTCGTCGTGAGACATGTTTCTTAGGAACGGAGTCGATTCTACGAGGACATGCGAAGATTTTACGTGCTTGCGCTCGTGAGTCGCGGAGTTTCGTACATCGCGATCGCTAGCGTTATTTCGCGGATATTACGCCACGACCTGCTACGAGGAAGTAAAAGCGCTTTTTACAGGAGTTCGGCGCTACTTTTCTCCGCTTTGATCGAGCCTGGGGCAATATCGCAGCTCGCGTGAGGAGAATGCGGTAGAATAAAGCTAGCCTACTTCTCGTCAACCAGCTGATGAAATATGTAATCCGCTCCCTCCTCACATGATATAAGGGATGAAACTTGTTGTTTTCTTTTCCTCACCGGGATTTTCGTTGCCGCCACCGCCTTCACTTAAGCCGGTATATAATCGGATCTTATATTTAAGACCGTTTTAAGTACAATCTTAAGATGGCATTAGTCAATCCCAGAGCAGTATTATCATTGTAAAACATTACTTAAGATGATCTTGAAAGAACCAACTATGAATACCGACCTTAATTTATTAACGACACAATTTTCTTTTTTCGTACGTCAGGTCCTACTGAATACAAATCTAGTAATAATAAAGTGTAGATGATATAGTTATATTAAAGCTGAAATAATTTTTATCAACTATTTGATTAAATATAATTAATATAACCAATTAAACGCTAATCTTATTTTTATAAATATTTAGTAATTATTATCAAACGGTTAATTACTATTATTATGTTTAGTAATATTGACTAAATGTTGCGCCAATTAATGCGTTAAACAAACAGTTTGGATATGGCTATTATTAGACTTTTTTTTTAGTGGTACACTGAATTGTGTAGTTAAATTATTATAAATAGAAACTTCATTTTTTATAATTATTACTCTACAATGTTAGTAATAATAATTGTTTTTATAATTCTATATATCTATTGAAAAAAAATCTGATTAATTAAATTGATACTGTATAGTATCAAATATAATCATTGTTTTAGTAAAAAATAACGATATTATTGAGTAGGAGCAGTGGCGACTCACATTTAGTTAATTTGACCTTATAAAATTTAACAGTGTACATTTGTAATACTTACTAAATATTTGAAAAAGCCATATATTATTTTTAGTTATATAAACCGAACGTTCGATTCAAATTATTTTATTCAACATTTGGTAGCTATTTATACTAGATTTTGTTTTCAGTGTAGTTGGTAGTGAAAATGGTTATAAATAATAGTTAAATTATGGTAATTGTAACCATTTTTTTCCTCTTAATTTACGACAATCGTCGTATAACGAGTTTGAAACGCAGCATAAGCGAATGCGAAACGGAACCCTTTATAGTTGCCTTCGAAGGTTAATTTATTTCAAAGTGTGTTAGTTATTCGCTATCGTGCAAATTTGGATAATAAATGAAGCGCTTAACTCAAACCCGTTGCTGCAGCAGAAACGTATCCTTTTAATTTCCTCCGCACGTTTTCTTTTGAAGCACACCTACGTTGTGGCTGCGCATCCTTATTTTCCTCTGGCACTTTGATAAAGCTAGCATAATGAAGTTACACCATTTCTTTCTAATTAACATAGAAACAAGTGAGGTGTGCGTATCTCTCTTTTTTTTTAATGATACATTTTATAAACATTTTAATTATAAGTTATGTAATAAATTTAAGGCAATTTCAACGAATCAAATTGTTGTAAACGACTGAAATATTATGCTCATATTTTTGATAATTTATTGCGCGCCCGACACATTTTCGTCTATTAATTTCTTTTGTTCCCGTAATGGTTCGTTATTAAGAGGGCTGCTTGCAATACGGAAAGCACGTAATGTATATATTTTTCACGAGATCGTAAAAATTTCTCTAAGAGTTAAGCACGTGGTATCGTTTGCAATGAGAAATAAAATCAACGACGCGTAACGGCGCCGCGAGGCGTTGAGGTGCCATTAAAGTATACCTTAATGAGGAACTGGCCGGGCGCGCGTAATTAGTAAATCGGATTTACGTAATCCTGTTTGTACCGCGATCGGAAAGAAACAAGGCTCCAGAGGCACCTTAACGAGATTGCCGCGGAAAAACGCCGACCCGTGTATTTCCTTTTCTCCGTTGCACTTTTTCTGTCCTCTCTTTTGTTGCGATGTAGCTCGATGTAGCTTCCTTATTTCCGGACACGGATTTCTGTTAATTAATTTCTCTATTAATGAAAATAAGTACGAATATATAGGCAGTCTCTTTGTCACGCCTCGCTTTCTCTTTGATTTTTTCTTTTTGCTCCGAACAAAGAGAGAGAGAGAGAGAGAGAGAGAGAGAGAGAAATTTTTTAAAGTATTTCTTTTTTTTACAGCATTTCTTAACCTGAAACCTCACCGGTGGCTTGGTAATCGTCGCAACGGCACTAAACTCACGATGCGGTTCACCGCTGGTTTGCATTATGGTTTCCACTTCTTGTTGGCCGCGAACTGATGACGGTGAGTTTAACCTGTTATTATTACCACAGAAAACCAAAAGACCTTAAAGCGGATTAACCGTTTTTTTTATCTTTTGTCCGCTATGGTTGGGTCAGCGGTTGATAACTGCGTCTTTAGTCACGCGAATCCGGTTAGATGGTTAGGAGAATCTGAAGGTGAAAACCGCAACCGCATTGTAGCTTTCAGTAAATCGTCATCAGATTTTTATTGCATCGTGTCAAGATCACGACAGTAATTGCAGAAAATTACCTGCAACATCCCGTAATTTATCGCGCGATCCAGCAATCTGCCAGTTAAGGATTAAAGTATTTTTTATTTCCTTTATTATACTTAAAGCCGTAACATAAGTGAAAAGCATTCCCACAAATTGGTGAAACGTTCTATATACAACGAAAAATAAATTAAGAACTGTTTTATTTAAAAATAATATTTATTTTTACAAGTTTAATTAAAATTTTTTTTTTGTTACTGTCTTTTCCAAGAAAATGCAATAAATCGAGAGAATTTTATATTTATAACCAAGGCCGTGTATGTCTCATATTTTTCTTCCATTTTCTGGTTTCACATTTCAGTACTTCAATAAATCTGTCATTTTATTTCAATGCTTTATCATCCGAAACTGAATTGGAAATTACATCATTAGCATATTTGATTAGCTACGGTGCGATATCTTTCTGTCAAAGGATTCTAGCGTAAAGATATAGGAGCCGCGAACCTCGCAGCGTTAAATCATATTTACGTCGCAACTTTCATTGGCATTACAGGTCTATGAAAGTTGGTGGTAGCCTTTATTGGCCATCGAGTCGGACTGTTTCCGCGAACGTAAAAGGGAAACTTGTTTCACCCCCGAGCGAAATTGCGCTTTTGATCTCGCGCTTTCAAGCATGCACCGACGAATTTTCTTCAGGATAACTCTCTCGCGCATCCTCGGCCGTTAGTACATACTATTTAAAGTTCATGATTTAATTTCGATAATGCGAAAGTTGACTCGTCCGCTCGATAGCCCGTGATCAAAGTTTCTTTAAATTCTCTGACGCGGCGTCAAGTCTCCTGTAATTTTACTCGAGTGGATTTTTAATATCCACACAACACGAACGAACCTCTCGAGTATCGAATATCGTTCGACCTGTCAAGAAGAAAAATATCAATAGGTTTCCACCCGCAATCGTATCTTGACGCGGAAAATATAAAAGCGTTTCTGCATTTAGATTGATGAATAGACCCGAGGCTTTCGCGGAAATTAAAATAGGATATTGCGAAATTTTTGCAATATCTGAGATACAACACAGTAACCCATGAATGTCTCTCCGTGGAAATTATTGCGTTATTGCAGAAAACTGAAATACATTTAGCTCTTTAATATTACTCCCGATCTTTTAATGTATTACGTTCGTAAACGCGATTTTACCGTTATATAAATAGCAGAGAAATATATATCCCGCCAAGTAAGAAAATTTAATCTCGAATCATATTTGCGTGATTCTTGTAAGGATCGCATCCTGCGTTCCTCAGTTTATTATTATAAATGCAAATCAGTTTATACTTTGCTACTTCAATCTGCATACATTCTAAATTATTCCTGTCCTAGATTGAGAGAAAAGTGTTTGGTGTTGTGACTATAGTTGCAAAGTGAAATAATTAAAATTGGATGCTCTATTTTTATAGTTATTATTGCTATAATATTAGTAATTATAATTATATTTATAATTCTATGTGCACCAAAAAATATAGTTGATATCAAAAACGACTGTAACATATATCCATTTTTTATATCAAATATATTTTTTTATATATAGAAGTGTAATTAATATTACTAACATTATAGCAATAATAATTGTAAAAATGGTTTTAACTGTAATTATTTGTATATATATCAAAAATAACTATAATTCATCAATATTTTTATACCAATTATGTGCCAATTATATATGTTTTTGATATATTTTACTATAAATGTAATTCTTATTACTAATAATATAATAGTAATAAAAATTTATTTCGATATACGAAATACGATATATAATTTGTAGTCGTTTTTGGTATTAACTACATATTTTTTTAAGTATATAGAATATAGTTCAACTAAAATCAAGAATTAAAAGCGAGGGGGTAAGCTAGCTGAAATATTCCGCAGATTACATGATTTCAAATGATTTCATTTGATTACAAATAATTTTTTTCACTACATATGAAGTAATTTGATAAAATATACGATTTTATTTAATTAATTTTAATATTATACAATAATTTCTCGTGGTTGCATATGTAATTATCGGATTATACGTAGAAATTTCATATAAATTTTATAATGATTTCGAGGACTTTGTCCCAAGATTACATCAAGTGGTTACCCTCTCAATTAAAAGTATGATTATTACTAACGTTAATAATAAACAGTAATAATGTTTATAAAAAAAGAGCTCTTAATCATAATTATTTTACCATGCAATTATACTCATAAATATTGAAACACTTTTTTCCTTAATGCGCGGCGCGATTAAAAAGGTGCGAGGTAATTTTTTGAAACACAAATAAACGCCCGAAATTAGGGC